CACTAGAGGAGACTTTTCTAAGGAGAAAACATTTACACACCTGGTGTGGTGGTTTTTTTTTTTAAATATTGTATTTAGTGTGAAAAATGCATGTACTTGCTAGATGTTATTTCTGCTGTTTTGTGAAAATAATAAAATTTATTAGTAATTTATATCTAAAAACCAATCAGTGCCTTATTAAATTTAATGCTCATAACTTCTGAAAAAGAGATTGCAACCCTTGTGGGATTCTTCAACCCTGCAAGCCTTCTAAAAATTTATTTTGGAAAATAATTTTTTGAGGTATATTTTACATGTAATATAATGCACAGATTAAGGTTGTACAGTTTGAGTTTTGGCATATGTAAGCACCCATGGAACCACCATTCCAATCAAAGACATTTCCATCATCCCCACAAAGTTCCTTTGGAATCTATTCAGGCCTGTTCCTGACCCCAGTCCGGGTGATCAGTGTTGTGTTTTTTGTCACTATAGATTAGTTTTGCCTGTTGTAGAATCTCATATAAGGGCCAGCTCGGTGGCACACTCGGTAGAGTGCGGCACTTGGGAGTGTGATGGCGCTCCCGCCGAGGGTTCGGATCCCATATAGAGACCGGTCCGCTCACTGGCTGAGTGCGGTGTGGGCGCGACACCGAGGGTTGTGATCCCATTGCCGGTCGCGGTACGGGCATGACACTGAGGGTTGCGATCCCGTTACCGGTCACGAAAAAAGACAAAAAGGAAAAAATAAATAAAATAAAAAAAAATCTGAGGGTTGCGATCCCGTTACCGGTCACGAAAAAAGACAAAAAGGAAAAAATAAATAAAATTAAAAAAAATAATAATAAATGGAATTATACAGTATGTACTATTTTGTGTTTTTTTTCTTTCACCTAATAGTTTTGAATTTCTTCCATATTGTTGCACAAACAACATGTTTATGTTTGGTCCCCTCCAACTCCCCCAGTAGTATTCCATTGTATGAGAATATGACAGTTTTGATTTGTTTATCTAATGATGGATGTGGGTTGCATCCATGTTTTGGCTATTATGTTTAGAACTAACATAAAGATTTTTGAACAGATCTTTTTGTGCTTATGTTCGTATTTTCTTGGGTAAATAATTAGGAGTGAAATTTCTGGGTCACAGGGTAAGAATATGTTTAACTTTATTAGAAACTGCCAGACTTACAAAGTGATTGTTCCATTTCACCTCACCAGCAATGTTATAAGACTTTCATATAGTTCCGCATCTTCATAAATACTGGATATTGTCAGTTTTATTTATTTATTTATTTATTTATTATTTGGTGGCTGGCTGGTACATGGATTGAACCCTGGACCTTGGTGTTATGAGCACCATGCTGTAACCAACTGAGCTAACCAGCCAGCCAGTTTTTAAAAAAATTTTAGCGATTTTGGTGGGTTTGTAGTGGTATCTCCTATTTTTTATTTGTGTTTTCCTGATGACTAATGATGTGGCCCACTTTTTTTGTTGTTTTTTTTTTTTAGTTGAGAAAAAGTCTGCTGATTCTTTATTGCTTTTGCGGGGCGTGACACTCAGGAGCTCTTGGTGAGACAAGTCCCCTTCCTTTTCATCACAGGCTTCTGGCTGCACAGGACCGCACTGGCTCTGTGGATGGTGGCCGTGTACAGATCAGGGCGGTACTTGTTCTTGTGAATCATGTGCCTGATGCTCCAGAGGGTGATCAGAACATTCTTGTTGATAGTGGTATGTAGGATGTAGCTGGCTTTCGCTGGCCGGATCTCCGCTTCATAACTACCAAGACACGTTTGCAGTTATCGGCTTCCGGCTCTACGCTCACAGTCTTGCTGTGAATCAGCCCAGTATAGTGGAAGCAGTTGCAGGCCTTCAGGTTGTTGGGCTCGGTGCTGTACATCTGCTAGCAGTTCCCTACGACCATTCACTGTAGATCTGCAGAGCACTTTCTCGTGTCCATATTGGTCATTTGTAAGTCAGCTTTTGGAAGCATCTGTTCAAGTCCTTTGCCCATTTCTAAATTTGGTTGTTTATGTAAATGTTTCCATTTCTGGACTCTATATTCTATACATTGCTTTGTCTGTGTTTTCTCAAATAATACATTGTTTTAATTATTATGTCTTCCAACTTCGTCATTCTGCTTCAAAATTGGTTTTGTTATTTTAGGTCTTTTGCATTTTCACATAAATTTCAGAATCATTTTCTTCCAAAAAGCCTGCTGGAATTTAGATCAGAAGTATATTAAATCTGTAGGTCGGGGGGACATATAGTTTGAGGAAAATGGACAGCTTAAACAGTATTGAGTCTTCTAACATGTATATCTCTTCATTTGCTTCAGACTTCTTTAATTTCTCTTGGTAATGTTTCATAGTTTTTAGTGTATAGAGGTATTATATATTATTTACATTTAAGTATTTGGTATTTTTGATGCTCCTGTAAGTTGTGTTATTTCTTAAAATTATTTCTTAAAATTTCCAGTTTTTTCTTGCTAGGCTGTAGAAATTCAGTTGATATTTGTATATTGGCCTTTATTCTGTGACCTTGGTAAATTCATGTATTGGATCTAATAGTATTTTGTGTAGATTCCTTAGTGTTTTCCACTTGAATAATTGTGTAATCT